GTCTTTCAGCGAAGATTTCATAATTAAGTAATTTTCTAGTTTATTTACAAAAAAACGTGTGTAAAATTATCAGATGCTTACATTACTTACCTCTTGCCAGAGTATACTTTCCTAATTTGTGGCTATAGATAAACACACAAGCAAGCCATTTTCTCTAAAACTGCTTGTTATATCGCAATAATTTTGTGCTTGCAGCCTTAGAATATCCATGACTTTGAGGAAGTTTTTTTTTCTTTTTTTTTTTAACTAAAGAAAAAAAAAACATGTGTATTTTTTATCATGAAACCGTCTTGGTAAACTTTTGGAAGGTTTACTTTCATTAGTTTCAGGAAGTAATGCACGCTAAGACTGGTTTAACAGGGAGTCAAAGAAAACCTACGCAATTTCATGATTTTCTCCTGCAATGTAGCACCTTAACTGACCGGAAGCCAAAAAAAGACGTCGTTCAAGATTGTGTAGTCAAAGGCGCATCCACAAATTAGTGTTAAGTTATTTATTGTGTGTCATATAGCTAGCTTATAAAATCTGACATAGAGCTCAACTTCAAAATGAATTTGAGATACACATTTATAACTATGCGGAAAGTTACTGTTTTACTGTAGCAGCACTTCCTCAGGGAATCTAAGATGGGTCATTTATATTGTGATATTCATCACCCAGAGAAACGAACAAGATTGGCGCTTGGTCTGGATAGAACATCATTTAACCGTTGGATTAGACACGACACAGAGTACATTTATGCCAAGCAAGAAAGGAAAAGGAAAGTTGACGACTTTGACGTAGATGTCATTAGACGTGAGATCTTCAAAATGTGTTAGAGACAAATCAACTTGTTACTCTCCGAAAACTGAAAATGACATTGAAATCACAATGCAGTATTCACTATTCTAAAAGTAGTCTATGAAAAGTTGTAAGAGCCACCATGTTCACTTTCAGGAAAACTGTAGGTGGAAGGAATATTGATTGCGAGAAGCCACGTTTGATTGCTGTCGAAGCAAATACGTGAGGCAGATCTGTGAGTGACGGAGGCAATGCTACGATATTGTATATTTGGATGAATCCTTAGTTAATGCTCACCATGATTATACTAAAGAATGACAGTCAATAAACGGTGAACAGAAAAGAAACATTCCAAGCAGCAAAGGCCAGCGCATTATACTCACTTATGCAGGGAGCAGTGAAAAAAGGCCTTTTCCATGATGTTGGACATGTTTTCCAATAAAAAAGTACGGATGGTAGGGACTACAACACTGAAATGAATGGACACAATTTCAGGCACTGGATGGAGAATGATCTTCTTCCAATTCTGGACAGACCGTCATGCACAGAAATGGCTAATACCGCTTATCATAATGCCGTATCAGGGGAAGACAAAGTACTAACGACATCAAATACAAAAAAAATCTAATTAGGACTTGGCTTGCTAAGGAAAATGTCAACTTTGACGACACATTTTTGAAGGCAGAGTTATTGCAGCTTGTGAGGAAAACAAAAAAGACACAGGTGTATCACACTGACAAAATCATTATTGCGACTTCCTGCATATCATTCACATCCCAACCTGATAGAGCTTGTTTGGGCTAAAAAGACAAATTGCTGAAAAGAACAGTATATTTAAAATGTGTGATGTTGAAGCTCTGACACGTGAGTCCTTCTAAAAAAATAGACATTCATTTCTGGAAAAAGTGTGTTGAACATGTGCTCCTAGAGGAAGACGAGTACTGGCACCGAGATGGATTTCAATTTGTTCAGCCAGTAACAATGTTCAAACTTTTGGGATCGTCCGATTCAGAATGATTAAAACCATTTTTCGGGTGAGTGGTTCAATATCCTCAACCCGTTAGGTACATTTACACTTGTTGGAAAAAAAAAAAAAAAAAAATTCCATATCCAAATGTGTCAACCCCAATACAATTTGCTGTACAGTTAAGATTCACCCTGGGGTCTAATGGTGACTGAAGGGAATACTAACGGTTGCACACTGGGGAAATGTTTACAATTGAACAAGGCAGACAGATTATCTAGATCTGCATCAATGGGTGGTGAACTGATACATGATAAAGCAGATGTGGTCAAGGCCCGCTGGGAACAAGTAAAGAAGTCAGAAGAGAAAATAAATTATCATGGCATGGAGAGAATAATACACATGGGTGTGACCAGAGGGCCTGGCTGGTACACTATGCTCAGAGGAAAGGCAAGATAGACATATCATAAGACTGCATCCGGTACCAGTAGTACTGCAACTCTGCGCTGGCTGCTGAAGACCGGAGCTCATGTGAGAATGTTCCGAGTGCTGTGATGTGTTTCTTGACTCAGCTCAGCTCAATTGACCATAAATGACAACCAATACATTTGCTTTAACTATCAATGTATTATGAAGACACGTATCTTAACAAAGCATAGAACTCTACTTATTTACAATGTTTCGAAAAGATCAAAGGAATTGGCTGATATTCAGCATCCTGTGCATCTATAGACTGAAAAATACCACTTTTTTTGCGTTATGGATATTCTAAGGCTGCATGCAAAAAAATCATTGCCATCTAACAGATATTTTTTTTCGAGAAAATGGCGTGCAAGTGTGTTTATCGATTGTCGAACAAACTATCGTTTTTTTTTTTTTTTTTACAGAAACTAGGGACGGAAATCACTTACAAGATGTTACATTTCTAATTACCTAACGGTTTCTGGAATATTTCGATTTAATAATAGATGAGGTGTGTGTTTTGAAAAAGCGTCTTTGGCTATCTCTGGAGGAGCAGACAACAACTGGGTTAGTCAAAGTGGTGAAAGAGAATCAGTGTGAGGACCACAGTCTTCAGTCAGACAGCTTGTTTGTGTGACGGCCTGATCCGAGACCACAACATCGCTCACATACGAAAGAAGTAAAACGATCATTGTAATAATGCATTTGGAACAATAGTTTCCGATTAAAGCCATGTATGTCATATTATTATGTTATATACATTTCTGATACTTGGATTACTTGGCTAAGTTCTATAATAGGTGTCGGCAACCCGCTACCGCGTGGGGCACGTTGAACAGTGTTCCACTGCACGCTTTCTCAGTTGAAGAACAGTGGGCCTATAGGCTATCAGTTGACAATAGAAAGAACCTAACATAAATACTTTATTAATTTGTGTGTTTGTTTGTTTGTTTTAGCAGCTGCTGCCTGTGGAAGTAAGAATGGCTTAAGTTGGCACGATGATGACTGGCTCCGAGAGATTTCTGTTTGCAGTCGCGATTTTCTTTGTTAACTGTTCAACAATCAGACACTGAAGAGACAGCATCACGCGATAACAAAACATGTGTAGAAACACATTTTCGACAATGTATGCCTGAAGTGTGGTCACTATGCACTTTATTGTAGAGGGTGAAAACAACTTCCATTCACGAAGAAACATCAATCAACCTGTTTATCAGAATACAGTGGATGGAAGAAAATACTATAATAATTAAATATAAGCTAATATTGTATGTTATTTTTTTTTAATTCTCGGGACTTTAGGTAGCTTGGCTCATTCACAACTAAGGAATCTACGAAATTTGTATTGGTTATTTCCTCCATAAAACTTTTAGAATTATGGCTCTACCAGTTAAATATTTAATTAACTCAATACATGCATTGAGCTCACTTCCACTGCCTGAGAGATTACCAGCTTTGGCCATGTCTGTCTCGTTGCTTTGTAGCAAATTATGTCGACATTTGACTGCAACAGTTATCTGGGGATAGAAAATGTAACTTTAACGTAATAGTTATCGGGCACTGTAAGTTGTAACTCTAACAAAATAGTATCCTGGTACGAGAGTCGTAACTTAACACAACAGTAATCTGGTACTGATAGCTGTAATTTTAACGTAACATTCATCTGGCACTAGGGGCTGGGGATGACAGTGGGATGCTCAGTTTATTCTTGCAGTTATCTGGCACCGGATATTGTAACATTATACTGACAACAGTTATCTGGCACTGGAAGTTGTAACATTAGCACAGTGTAATAGTTATATGGTACTTAAAGTAAACTTTCAGTTATCTAGTACTGAAGGTCGCTACTTTAATTTACCAAAAATGATTTATTGTAGCACAAAAAGAGTAAAAACGTATTTAAGTGAGTCTCTGGAAGATGGTAAAGGATAGTTCGTATACAGCAGTCGTCATCATCATCTCCATCATCATCTCAGTCATCATCATCATGTTATGCTGTTTATACGTCACAAATGATTCAACGTGTATCCGCCAATCCCATTGATCCTGCGCAATCCTGTAGATACCAGTGATGGGATCCAGTCCACCACGTTTGGCATCACTCTGATCAACGCTCTTGTAATGGTTTCTCTTAGGCGGCCTCGTTTCCTGTCTCTGTCGCATCTGGCTTTGTGATTATCTCTGTGATTTCCAATATGATGTGCCCGATACATCACCATCATCGTTGTCACCTAACTGTTGATACAGACAATACTCTTATTTCCCCGGTCCTGACAAATGTTCACAAATGTATTCGGGCATTTGTTTTCGAATACTACATACACCTAACATTCGCTTCCCGTTTTTACTTGTTCTTTTACGTTCAGAAGCTACATGGAGAAAAAAAAAAGGGTTGGTGGGGGAGAGGGGGAGGGCCTGTGTTTCACATTTCTCATTGTTATCACGCTAATGAGAGTCAGACTATCTCACTTCGATTATATACATACTGTTGCCAGGTAAGCGACAGGCGAATAAATAGAGGACAAATACAGTTAGTGGCTTTGGATTACACACGGACTTTGGCGGGGTTGTGTATAACGCTGCGGCGGATGTCGTTCCCGCCATTACAACAGAAGCTGCGGGTTGACAGTGTTAGGACTGTGTGCCGAGTTTCCCTTTCTTTCAATTCTGGATGTGGTTACTTGTTCAAAGAATGTGGTTGCGTGCCATCACATAGCCGTACTAGATGGATTCACTAAGCTGTGTTCCGCGAATTCAATAGTTGAACTTTTAGGTGAAGAAAATTAGTATAGCCATGTGTACCGCGGCAGAGACGTGCAAAACCAAACATCGGCGCATCAGCCTTGAAGGTAGGCATACGATTCCATGTTTTTTCTTGGTTATAGAAGTGTATGTACAGGGACACGCAATGTTCTGATGTTTTTGTGTTGTGTATGTGTGTCACGGTGTGTGTGTATACGGGGACACTCAATGTTCTGATGTTTTTGTGTTGTGTTGTGTATTTGTGTGTGTGTATACAGGGACACTCAATGTTCTGATGTTTTTGTGTTGTGTATGCGTGTGTGTGTATACGGGGACACTCAATGTTATGATGTTTTTGTGCTGAGTATGTGTGTGTGTGTATACGGGGACACTCAATGTTCTGATGTTTTGTGCTGAGTATGTGTGTGTGTGTGTATACGGGGACACTCAATGTTCTGATGTTTTTTTGTTGTGTATGTGTGTGTGTGTATATACGGGGACACTCAATGTTCTGATGTTTTTGTGCTGAGTATGTGTGTGTGTGTGTATACGGGGACACGCAATGTTCTGATGTTCGCTGTTTTGTGTGTATGTATGGACACACAATGTTCTGTTATATTATGCATATGTATAATCACATTTCACACATTATTCTGATGTTTGATATATTGTGTAAATGTGTGGTCACTTGGTGGTGTGATGTTTGCTATATTGTGCACCAGCGTCGGCATATATATATATATATACACGTGTGTTATATCGTGTGTGTCGTAGACGTGCAATGTTCTGCTGTTTGTTAAACTCACAGAAGGTTGCCTAAAAAAACAGCAATCACATTTCCGAAGTAATATTTTGGCCGTATCAAGAGCCACGGCGGATTGGACAAAATAACAACAGAGGGCGAAGCAGGGGCTGACTAACAGGAACATGGGCACAGGATTTAAGTGACACATTGGATATGAAAGTGCACGAGGCGAGAGACTGAGTTTCTTTCAGGCAGACCGGGCTGTTAGCGACGTTCTGCATAAACTTGCTAAATGATTATGATGTAAACATTCAATGTTCTAATGTTTGTTATACTGTGCCTGTCCATATGTGGACACACACAGTAATGATGTGTGTGTGTGTTTTTTTTTTTAAATATGACGTATGTGTGTTTACACATACATTTTTAACGTTACCTTGTGTCTGCTTCATCATACGTTATCAAGTTATATTTTGTGTATGTGATGTCACACCCAATGTTCCGATGTTAGATTGTGTATGTGTGGTCACACAATGTTCCGATGTTATACTGTATATATCTGTAGTCAAACAATGTTCCGATGTTATACTGTATATATCTGTAGTCAAACAATGTTCCGATGTTATACTGTATGTATCTGTAGTCAAACAATGTTCCGATGTTATACTGTATATATCTGTAGTCAAACAATGTTCCGATGTTATACTGTATATATCTGTAGTCAAACAATGTTCCGATGTTATACTGTATATATCTGTAGTCAAACAATGTTCCGATGTTATACTGTATATATCTGTAGTCAAACAATGTTCCGATGTTATACTGTATATATCTGTAGTCAAACAATGTCCCGATGTTATACTGTATCTATCTGTAGTCAAACAATGTTCCTATGTTATACTGTATATATCTGTAGTCAAACAATGTTCCGATGTTATACTGTATCTATCTGTGGTCAAACAATGTTCCGATGTTATACTGTATCTATCTGTGGTCAAACAATGTTCCGATGTTATACTGTATATATCTGTAGTCAAACAATGTTCCGATGTTATACTGTATATATCTGTAGTCAAACAATGTCCCGATGTTATACTGTATCTATCTGTAGTCAAACAATGTTCCTATGTTATACTGTATCTATCTGTGGTCACACAATGTTCCGATGTTATACTGTATATATCTGTAGTCAAACAATGTTCTGATGTTATACTGTATCTATCTGTGGTCACACAATGTTCCGATGTTATACTGTTTCTATCTGTGGTCAAACAATGTTCTGATGTTAAACTGTATCTATCTGTGGTCACTCAATGTTCCGATGTTATACTGTATCTATCTGTAGTCAAACAATGTTCCTATGTTATACTGTATATATCTGTAGTCAAACAATGTTCCGATGTTATACTGTATCTATCTGTGGTCAAACAATGTTCCGATGTTATACTGTATCTATCTGTGGTCAAACAATGTTCCGATGTTATACTGTATATATCTGTAGTCAAACAATGTTCCGATGTTATACTGTATATATCTGTAGTCAAACAATGTCCCGATGTTATACTGTATCTATCTGTAGTCAAACAATGTTCCTATGTTATACTGTATCTATCTGTGGTCACACAATGTTCCGATGTTATACTGTATATATCTGTAGTCAAACAATGTTCTGATGTTATACTGTATCTATCTGTGGTCACACAATGTTCCGATGTTATACTGTTTCTATCTGTGGTCAAACAATGTTCTGATGTTAAACTGTATCTATCTGTGGTCACTCAATGTTCCGATGTTATACTGTATACATGTGTAGTTATACAGTGGTCCTATGTTATACTCTATATATCTGTAGTCACACAGTGGTCCTATGTTATACTCTACATATCCGTAGTCACACAATGTTCCGATGTTATACTCTATATATCTGTAGTCACACAATGGTCCTATGTTATACTGTATATATCTGTAGTCATACAATGTTCCGATGTTATTCTGCGATATTTGCTGTACTGTATATATGTAGACACCCAATGTTTTCACGCTTGTTGTATATTCATTCCTGGACGATGTTTCATATCTGTCTGCTCCATACACCACAGCTTCATACACCACATGATACGTCAAAGGCAGCACACTTGAGTCCCAACCACCGCATCATGTGTTCTCCTATCGTTTACATTCACAGTGAACTCTTCCACTGAGTTGTTTAAAATAATACATTTGTCATTTTTCATTGCTATTCTTCACCTCTAGTGGCTCTAATAGTGTATCTTTTTTTTTAAATTACAGCACTGGCTACATTCTGTTCAATTTAATACTGCGGCGATGCTTGGTGTTTGTTCCGTTGACCGATACACACACACATGTATGTTGTGTTCTCCTCCCTATATACTGCTGTAAGACAGTTTATTACGTGTTTCATTCTGTGATGTTCCCATCAGCTACTGTACGACTGTTTTAATTCTTGTACCCAACATTGATACATCGAGACTCTACACTCTACATCAACATCACAGATAACCGGGCAACCGAGCGTGCCTTAGCTCGGAAATTAACACCCGACGCCTAACGGCACAAAGCGACAACAAAACAGACAAAAGAAAGATAGTTCTCATCAGTGTCCGTGTATGAATCAAATTGTGTGTGTGTGTGTGTGTGTGTGTGTGTGTGTTTGTGTGTGTGCAATATTTAGCATGGTCGCCGACATAATAAAAACATTTGGGTGGTAGGGTCCTTGTTTTTACACTGTTGTAGTCCTGAACTTAGATATTGACTAAGAAATACGAGAGGGAACTAGCCACCCGCGCAAGAAGATGCTTGAGAAAGGTCGTGGACAAAACTAGAAGAGTTTATGTGATAAATGAAGAAGCTGCAAGAATTATTGAAACAAAACCTATAATTAAGTTCATTAAAAAGAAAGATTTAAATGATCTGGCCCTTTACTGAGAATGAATGCAATGATGCCATCAACGAGAGGTTACACAATGAAACATCAAGATGTGGGGGACGACCAAGGAGATGATGAATTGAAGGAGTCACTGATATCTTAAGACTCCACGACATCACAGCATACCAGGCAACCTAGTGTGCCCTAACTCGCAAACGGATCATCTGTTTGTTAACCAGCGACGCGGCACAAAGCAGAGAACAGACAAAAGAAAAATAGTTCGGAATAGTGTCCCTGTGTTGATCCAATAGTTCGGATCGGTTGCTAGTTTACTGATCAGTCGGCACAAAGTATCCATGCATAAGTGAACTAACCAATCATAGGGTACCGTACCCAAACCTGATACAGACTAGGTAATTAGCGCAGACTAGTTTCACCCCAGCGGCTAGAGTTATGTCGTCTGGTGGCTTTAGACACATTTCCTGTGTTCTATGACCAAACAAACTCACAAAAACTAGGCTTCTTTACAACTGTACTTTTAATTCGCATACCATATTGGCTGAACATATTTAGAGGTTGGTGGCTTTTGTGTTTAACCTTGAGTACTTTATCGGCTCGTGGTATCTTATATTGCTGAGGCCAACTTGCCAAAGTTGCACATGGCAGAATTGGAACTTTGTGCAGGCAAATTCATTCATTGACAGCTCGGATTGAAGTCAGGAAAGGGGAAGAAGGTTGGGCTGCGTGACACTGGAAAATAGCTACAGCAGACATGTCTAATATTTACAAGCTCGTTAACCAGGGAACAACCAATGGATGTAGTCAATGAAAACCGTTCAAACCAAAACAGTGGACAGATTTATCATATATTGTGACATAAATAAATGACATATAAAGCAGTTAATACGAGTTATCATCATCATGTGTTGGGGTAATTAAGACTATAAGGTCCTGATTCGGGATCCCATACGATCACCACACAAGGGCGAAAAGTAAATTAACATATATTCGAGTTAAATCAAAGATAGCACTGCTCCCCCTGTTTATAGACGACGATGACAACAAATTCAGTACGTTCTCATCCTGTAGAATCCCAGCGCCTAACTGTTGCAAAGTATGGAATCGTCAGTGGACCAGCAAAGTGACTGCACGTGTGCCGCAACACTTGAGTGTCCATAGAGAATTATTGGGGGGTGGGTGGGAAAAGGGGGGGGGGTGGAGCCAAAATGGACAAGTGTTTGGCATCAGGATAAGGGTCATTGTGTTGCCATAGATGTTACAATTGTGACTACTTGATAAGTTTTTTAAGTGTTATTGTTTTATTTATGGAAAAAAAAAAACAGCAACAACTAATAGTTGTGAACTAAAATAATTACCTAATAGATAATTCATCAACTTTAGTCGCATAGCTTCACATTCAGTATTGACAAACGGACAATACGCAGCGGTATCCACACTGTTCTGATTATTTTCTCTTTTTTTTTTTTTTTTTTGGCTGGAAACTTTGGAATTAGACATCTCAATTTAAAACAGCCAAGCGTTTATCGGTGCTACAAAGAGGCGTATCTCTTTACCAAGCCAAACGGGTGAATGCTTAATCTCGAGAAATTGAAGAGCAAGACAAAATTCGGGAATATGATTGAAGAGATGTGTTGGTTTTAGACGACATTGCAGTTGCCACTCAGGGAGTCAGCTGTAATTGCAGCCACAAAACAGATACTGACTGATATTGGGACGTGAAATGTTATGCACTCACATATTCTAGACCACGATGTGTTTTGTGGCGTGGCTATTTCCAATACATCCATAGAGTCTCGTGTAGACAACACTTCTAGAGTCATAAATACATACGTAAACTACATTCTAGAGTCATATGCACTCACCAAGACTTCTTGAGTCACTCAGACACGAGTAGACTGTGCATCTAGAGTCACATAGACACGTGTAAACTATGCTTCCAGAATCACAAAGACGCATGTAGACTAGACTTCTAGGGTGACAAAGATGGTAAGTGATATAGACGCTACATTTCTAAAGTGACATAGACGCTACACTTCTAGAGGGACAAAGACGCTACATTTCTAGAGTGACACAGACGCTACACTTCTAGAGTGTCATAGACGCTACGCTTCTAGGGTGACATAGACGCTACGCTTCTAGGGTGACATAGACGCTACATTTCTAGAGTGACATAGACGCAACATTTCTAGAGTGACATAGACGCTACTTTTCTAGAGTGACAGAGACGCTACATTTCTAGAGTGACACAGACGCTACACTTCTAGAGTGACATAGACGCTACGCTTCTAGGGTGACATAGACGCTACGCTTCTAGGGTGACATAGACGCTACATTTCTAGAGTGACATAGACGCTACATTTCTAGAATGACATAGACGCTACATTTCTAAAGTGACATAGACGCTACATTTCTAGAATGACATAGACGCTACATTTCTAAAGTGACATAGACGCTACATTTCTAGAGTGACATAGACGCTACATTTCTAGAGTGACATAGACGCTACGCTTCTAGAGTGACATAGACGCTACATTTCTAGAGTGACATAGACGCTACGCTTCTAGAGTGACATAGACGCTACGCTTCTAGGGTGACATAGACGCTACATTTCTAGAGTGACATAGCCGCTACGCTTCTAGGGTGACATACACGCAACATTTATAAAGTGACATAGATGCTATACTTCTAGAGTGACATAGGCGCTATACTTCTAAAGTGACATAGGCGCTATACTTCTAGGTTGACACAGAGGCTACACTTCTAGCCCAGGAATTTGGTATAAAACCTAGTGTAATGAAGGCAATTATCTCGACATTATAGACACAAGTAGGCGGCACTTCTAAAGTCAGGTAGACTACACATTTCCCCCCAAGCCACACATGCCTCAACTAGTTTTCAGCATAACACAGTCACGTACTTCTAGCACAACGAATATTAGTGTACACTGGCGGGAAATTTATTGATCATCAGTATCAACAAAAACACACACACGCAGAGTAAAAAAAACATCTATGTCATCGCATTAGCTAATGGATGTGCGTTCTCTGGAGTTGTTATTATACTGGTAAGTTTCCCAAGCTCCACGGGAGGTATATTGATGACAGCATCGGTGTCTTCGAATTGCCTGATGTTTTTTCTCCAGCATCCATCCCAACGACCGACTCACTTCCAGCATTTCACTGTTGTCTTTGCGTTTTCTAGATCTCACCGTCGCCTTTGATTCTAAAGGCCTTAACATCTCGGTGTACTATAAGCCTGCTGATTCTAATGTTTTTCTCCTTTAAACACTTTCACATCCTTCTTTTCTGCAAGGACTGTATTTCTTTTTTCACAACTTCTACACCTCCGTAGACTGTATCAGAGGAACCACTACATCCTCCATAGAACATGCTGGACTTTTCCGGTTTCGAGGCTATCCTGAATATATCTGCTGCCTTTCACCCCTAACGGTCTATCAGTCTTGCCGAGGCCCTCAGTTTCAAGCCTAAACGTTAGCACAACAGATCTAACAGATCTATCCTCTCGCTTTCCTAACAACATCCGTGCCAGAAACAGTCTTCTCAAATATCTCTCTGTAGGCTGCCACTAGCATGATTTTCTCTGAAGTTCCTCTGGTAGCCTAAAAAACCGTAACCTCCAGGACGTTCTAGTCAAGTGTCGGTTACGTCCCACCTTTGAGTCTCAGGCACGATCTTTTGCCATAGACCTGTATACAAGACTTGTCCGTATATAGTGCAGATGGACAGTCTGTGTTTCGCTAGCGTCACCTTCCACATACGTTAGGCATTTTATTGCATGAGCGGCAATGTTATTTGCTCCATCATCTGCAAAATATATGGTATGAAATACATAGGTAAAACGGGATTCCGACTAGCTGACAAAATACTTTGGATGTGCAGAACGGTGCCCTCAAACCAATACTGTTGCACTTCAGTTCTCAAGATTACTAACAACTTGGAAGTTGTTGCCATCAGTTCTAGCCATTCATGTGGCTGACTCCACAAGTCTCTCGAGAACCGCATGATTTTTCTCATAGGCGTCACTTCGCCTAAGGGACTCAACTTTGAACACAGTTTATCTAATATCTTTGAGCTACCGCCCTTGGCATTCTTATATATTATCGACGGACATGTGTGTCATTCATTCTGCTGGTTGGACAGAAATGTAACTTCTATCAGGAACATGTCAGCTTAGTGACTTTATGTATTTTATTTAATGTTTTAATATGATGGAGAAAACTATTTAGCCACCACGTTCGCTTGTCGTTTGGATAATGTGAAGCTTACTGGTTCTATTTTTCGTTAGCTTGATATCTTTGTATGTAATTGTAAGCGGGCTACGACGAATTTAACTTGAGTTTAGTTTGTACGACGGATACCTTGATTTGGTTTGATTTCACTTATGAAAAATGCATGGCCACTGTGCATAAAAAGGACCGGACTCGAGAAAACGGCCTCATTTTGGCTTCCAGGTTGAACCTGCAGTCGCTCTGGGATGTTGTGACTCTACACACTGGGCTAAACAGCATGGGTACGGGCGACTGCAGGGGAGGGCCAGTTGCCTGGCTGATTTCACAGTGTTTCCGTAGTTAAATCTGGATTTGTCTGAAGTTGATGAACTGTGTGGGTAGATATATCAGTGTGTATCCTCGCCCGGAGATAGTTTGATTGCAGCATCTTACATATTTACGTAGACTATCTTTCAGGATCGTATTGACTTATGTAGACTATATCTTTCAGCATCTTATAGACTTACGTAGTCTATATCTTTCAGTATCGTACATATTTATGTAGACTACATCTTTCAGCATCGCAGATATTTATGTACACTACATCTTTTAGCATCGTACATATTTATGTAGACTATATCTTTCAGCATAGTACATATTTATGTAGACTATATCTTTCAGCATAGTACATATTTATGTAGACTATATCTTTCAGCATAGTACATATTTATGTAGACTATATCTTTCAGCATCGATCATATTTATGTAGACTGCATTTTCTTGCATCGTACAGTCTTATGCTGGTGTAGACTAAATGTTCCAGCATCACACGTACTAATATAAACTAAATGTTCTAGCACCACACAGGCTGATATAAACTATTTGTTCTGGAATCACACAGGCTGATATAAACTATTTATTATGGAGAAGCACAGGTTTGTGTAAACTATATGTTCTGGAATCACACACGCCGATATAGGTTACGTTTTTTAAAATCCCACAGGCTGATGTAGACTATGTTTTGAACATCACCCATGATCATGGATGTTACAATTCCAACGCCACACAGTCAAGTGCAGACGCCACGATGTTGTCTGGTATTTGGGAAGTGATCTCAAAGTGTCTATCGTGAAACGGTAGAGTATCTGAACAAAAATGACTAGAATCTACAGTGTTCACGAGCCTATGATGCACTCATTTGAGTAGGTATTTGAGCAACAATTAAAGAAACGGTAGTGAACTTATAACATAAGTGTAGGTGGGTACTTCAACTAACAAAATAAAAGAAACAATGGCGTATATGAATCTATTTTTGCACATACTTCATTTGTGTACCTGCCCAAAATGTGATGGTGTATTTGAGTCTATGTGACACAAGCTTACGATGAATTGTGTCATACACTCTGTAGAATCATTTTTTCTGGATTTATGCATAGCTATGTCGATTACTGTTCCATGGTTACAACTGTGTTTAAAAAGTTTCTTTTCATTGATGTTCACGTACTTGACAGTGGCCATGCACAAACATTCATGCTTTGTGACGATGATAGCTTACTTTGGTACTCTATAGCTTCAAGTCTTACACATGCTGTTGTTGTTCTCACAGATCACCGACGTCGAGACGGACCATGTGGCAAGAAATGTATTGTGGTGACTGCTGTTGCTCTCTTTCTTTTCTTAACGTTTGTTGCTCTGCCGGCCGGTAAGTCCGTGTTAGTCCAAATTGTTTTAGTCCAAAGCTCCCTGATCCCGTAAAATTGTTGATAATTAATCATATTGTAGATTCATCTTGTTCTGATTGTTACTGATGTTGTTATACGTATTTTTCCAGTTGTGTCCATAATTTCTTGTAGCTACACTTCATTTTCAGCGATCTAAATTACCTAAGCATACTGCTGTCTACATTATGCTCGCAAACAGATATTCCTGGAACATTGCCCCTAGGTCTCATTGTTGTTTCAAAATGCAATATAATAAGATCAGTGACAGTACCCAACTTTGCCTACTGAGTGTTGCCAGTGATTATTAATTTTTTCCACAGATCGGGGTGATTCTCAAAAATTGACATTATTTATATAGATTAGAGTGTTATCAATAGAGATTTATTCTTTCTGTAACGGGATGGCGAGGCCTGTTAATTTTGGTTTGGGTACATCCGTGAACTAAAAACTGGCAAGCTTGGGGGTCAGAACTCTCTAGAAATGGAGTCATGGGTGGCTATAAAAGGCCGAGACAGTAAAAAAAGGTTCTTAGCATATATCCAGTTTCGTCCTTTTCAGGACGAAATTTTTTGTCATTTGAAGCCCTACTCTGGCTTTTGCCAGGGGCCGCAATATAGGCAGGCCATACATATGGCCAAATGTCTGAACGCGGTTTCTGGGACCTCTCCACGGCGATCCTCATCCGCATGGTGGCACTTTGTGTCATCGGGTGTTTATCGCTTGTGTGATGTCCTAGTGGGGTAAAAAGTCAGTCAATCAAAAAGGTTCTTGAATTCGCTTCCCGTTCTTTTTGAGGATGAAATTTTTCGTTATTTGAAGCTCTACTCTGGCTCTTGTCAAGGACCGCAATATAGCCCGGCCATAAATATGGCCTAATGGCTGAACGCGGTTTCCGGGACCTCTCCACGTTGATCCTCACCCACATGGTGGCACATTGTGTCATCGGGTGTTTATCGCTTGTGTGATGTCCTGCTGGGGTAGAAAGTCAGTCAGTCAAAAACGTTTCTATAATCCCCATTCCCATGTGGGTCGAATTTTTCGTTATTTTTAAACCCCACCATGGCTGATGGCCAGGGGCCCTGATATAACCTAACGGTTGAACGGGGTTTCTGTGACCACTCTACGAGTGATCCTTATCCAAATGGGATACTTTGAGTTACTGAGTGTGTATCGCTCAGTGTCATGTCCTAGTGGGGTATAAGGTTAGTTGCGTGTCCTTTACAGGACGTTGCAGAACCAACCTTGTGTGGTTTTTCTAGACATATATATATATATATATATATATATATATATATATATATATATATATATATATATATATATATATATATATATATATATATATATATATATATATAGCCGAGCTTAAATCATATGAATTGGATTCAGTTTCAGTCTGTCAGTCGCTGACAACACCATGAAGCACTTGACGTTCAACCATTCTGACCTCGAACGCTTACATTCGCTGCGATGAAAACAAGATGATCTGACATTTTCGCACGCACATAGCTTCTGTGCTGAATGTTCAATACCGACAGAAGCAAATAACAAACAGTGCCCAGTGTTAGCCTACTTTCCAAGACTCATTTATAAAGTCTGGCTGTAGTTTAATGAGGCATGTTCCTATTGTCTAGAAGCTACGATCAATACACCCGATATTCTTCACGTCAGAAAGCAGTATGGTGGCCTTGTTAACTGTATCGATTATTTGACAGTGAAATGTTTGCGTACTCTTGGCTTGAAGATGAGATCTTGAAGTCTTCACAGAGCCGGAGATGATCTGGCAGGTCTGACAGTCCTAGAAATAGGACTGTGAGAACACCGTGACAAGAGAAATTATATGGTATATGGAGATTCTGGCATTCATACGTCACATTGGTGGTGCTGTTGGTGGTGGGGGGGGGGGGGGATTAAACAAAGTACACGTGCTGCTTGCTGTATTGAGAGCCATATTTAGCTGATGATGATGTTCCAAAGCTAATCATGGACAATCGGCAGATTAATGCGGAAACATGTGAAAACCGCAATGGAAGGTGTGGACCTAAAGGAAGAACGATCAGGGCATTATTAACATACTAAAAAGCAAAAGGAGATTTCTTGATAGAAACTAATTTAACCAGAGAACTAATCACCTTCATCGCACGAAGACTATATCCATTCTTTGGGCACGTCATGCGAGACAAGGTTGGTTGGGGGGGGGGGGGTTTGGAGAGACAACTGGAATACGTCGTGACAGCAACAAGTTGGTGAAAGGAAAGATAGAACAATTCCAACAGAGATGATTTTAGCAGTTTTGTGTGATGGCCTGACAGAACGTCTGTATCAAACATTATTTACATTTATCCGCTAGAAAGTCTGGATAGTACATGTTGTAGTTATTCTGATGGTCTGCCATCTGCCTCTTCCTCTCCCCGCGCTTTTTCTCTGTACACACACGTCCCGCACATATACACACACACACATATATACACACACACACACACATAGCTATACACATAATAAATGTGGATGCATTGTGCATGTGTGTGTATATGTATTTATGAATGGGTAGGTGTATGTGTGCGTGTCTTTATGTGTATATGTATATAGTTATATGTGTATGTAGGTATTATGCATGCATATACACTCATACATAATAGGTAGGGTGCAACACAGACCGCATATATAAGATGCCAACACGCAGCTGTCCCTACACCAACACCAGCGCATTGATCACAATGAAGCGACGCTGTCTGCACCACTCTAGTAATATACCGTACTCTTCAGACCTTCTAAATGCCAAGTTGACAGCGAATTCTGTTTGAACATACGATCAGGAACAAGATTTATGGGCACGAGCATCATTATCATATGTCTTTCCTTTGCGAAACATTGTATCGATCACAACCTGCTAAAAGATATATGTCTTTTCCCAGAAAGCTTCATCTCCAGTATATCTTTAACGTAAAATATCAGGCCCCACTTTGTTTTCCGAGAACGCTGCCTCCCAAGCCTTTTCTTTCTATACCGCTTTACTGCTGGACGGAATGAAAGCCTATGAAAAACAAAAATCACAAGCTCAAATATGCCCAACATTTTTGATAGATTGCTTCTCTCGCGTACATGCCAATGCTGAGCAATGAGTGACTGATTGATGAAGGAACTGGAGACAATGGAGGCGTTTGTAGAAGAATGTTGAAAATTTCGACGGCAAAAAAAGAAAACAAGTGTCGAGATTTAAAAACAGCTACCGGTTTTTAAAGATTAAGCCTCAGAATCCGAATGCAACGAGCATTATCCAAAGAAGAGTGCTAATATAGAATTATTTTTTCTTGCAGAGAATAGCAAAATGTGACAGTTTCAAACTAAGTGCAGATGCAGGGAAGCTGAAATGGAAGCGGTTCGTCGTACATAAGACTGGGGTGTGGGTGACGGTTTTCCGTTAGGACATTTATACAGTTACGGAAGACGAAAATGCAGAAGACTAGAGAGGAGCGACCCACTTCATTTGGGATGCACTATAGTAAAAACAGCCAGCTCTCGATAACATACTAACTGACAGAGAAAAGATGGCATTTTCCTTCAGAGATATTTAGAGCTTAGAAAAAAAAAAACTGCATAACTGTAGCAATATGTGACCAGTCGAGAAAAGATTATAATGAATGAATCAAGAACTGACACCACTGTATTGTCACTTCACCAGTAGCCAGTGAAGAGTTCCAGTACTGGTGATGCCAGCTGTAAGCTAATGACTACCCCGTGGATAGCATCATCATCATCATCATCATCATGTAGCAGGTCCTTTGCAGAACGTCAATCTCATCACAGTCTGCCTAAAAGAAACCCGGTCTCTCGCCAATTCTCCCACCTCATGTACTTTCCTACTCAAGGATTCACATCCGTGCCCATCTTTGTGTCGATCGGCCCCTGCCCCTCCTTCCTGGTACCAAGCCACTGCTACAATTTTTCCCAATCCGTCGTGGCGCTTGATATGACCAAAATATTTCAGCTTCCAAGACAGATGCTGTTTATTAGCCAATCTTCCTTGATGTTCAGATCTTTCAAGATGTCATTATTTCTCATCTTCTTTGTCCAAGATATTCTGAGAATCTTTCTATAGCATTTCAGCTCAAAAGCCCCTATTCTCTTTCTGAGAGATAGTCCACGACTCACATCCGTATATAGCCACAGGGAAGATGCATGCTCTCAAAATTCTAATTTTTATCTCCTTGCTGGTGCTTAACCATAGACTTTTAAGGCTGTGTCATCTTTGCATTGCTATGGCCATCCTCCTTTTAATTTCTGTCAAACAGTCTTTATTGCTGTTTATTATAGAGCCTAGATATTCAAAGTTTGTGACTTCCATGATGAGTTTCTTGGGATAGTAATGTGGTAGTTTCCCGTTGATTTCCACATCCACATGGCTTTAGTCTACGTCCTCAGCCTTCAGCAACCTTTTCGATTGCTAGCGCAAGTGAGTGCCCTGTTCTGTGATGCTCCTGCTAACAGCAGAGAGCACCCCAGAGGTGTCCACTTATACCGGCAGATACTCGGTCCCCATAGCTGCGTTGGCAACACTGCAGTGTGTTTACCGTCCTCTACCACGTGGAGGTGCAGTTGGGGTAGCACATAAACAAATTCTATCAGTGTGCAGCTTGCTAAGTTCCCAGCAGACGGTATACAATCGTTTTTATTTTATAGATGTAACGCTTGATTTAACATTTCTCTATTTACTGCACACCTTCACAAGTAATTATATCTTCTCCACAGGAGCATTCCTCATTATCCATGGGCGTCACCAGAACAGCCTTGCATTCCAGCTAGGAGGTGCTGCGGTAGTCTGCATCCCTGTTCTGCTTGGAATCGTTCTTGCAGTTGTCTTTTGTGTGAGACGTCACAGAAGAAAAGCCACATTCATCAGTGTCAGTACCTCACGTGTGTGATGTTACTCTGACATATGGTGTTAAGTTCTGTTATTTCTGACAGTATTTCATGTGATTTCATATTTATAAAATAGTTTTATACTGACAGCAGAAAACAAAGGTCTATCGCAGAGAATTAGCATGGCTGTCGCATCATTTGTTTATTCCAGAGAGTGCACAGATGAAAGGAACATTATTTTAGCATTACACAATGGCAAATGTTAGAATATGATTAGGGTTTCTTAAAGAGGCACAATGTCTTTTCGTTCTACTGTATTTGTACAAACGCGACTAACCAGCTTAGGTGAGAAAGCAAGGCATTGCGTAAGAACAGGTGTGTGAAATTATAATATGATATATGCTGCAGCCTTTATTACTTCAATGCACCCTAATCTTTGACTATGAAGATGTATATAGGTACGCACTCAGACTTCTATAATCAGAGATAGCTGAGAATGGGTTGAAGTTAAATGTATGATTATGGGAAGAGTATGGTAGTCTGAAGGTAGTAGGTAACTCAGTAATATGGGCATGGTTATGAAACAACTGGTCAACTAAATTAGCTTTATGTCCATGTTATTTCAAGTCTGATCAAGTAGATGAGTTTATGTACATGTATAACATAAACCTTAGAGTTGGGAACATTACACATCCAATGTTTAATACAAGGAGTACTTGGTGTACGTATGTAGGAAAGTTTAGGCCAGAGAAAGCTTGTAGAGATCTTGTTAAAACATAGATTTCACAAAACTTGTTAACACATATGATTTCTGTATTAATCTGTTAACTACCACAACTTTCCAAATGAATAAATTTACTCAGTTATGGCCATGATGATGTGCCACACAGTACAGTATTGCACACCATCAATGGAGTAAATTGGTAGCATAGTCAGTGTAATTGTTATCTGAAACAGTGATTCACATTGAAAACGGAGCACTAAACAGTAATAGGGAAAATTATAAGGTATATGGTGTTTATCCGATATGATAGACCAAATGGAAACGCACGTGTGATGTGTGTGGTGATCAATATCATCCTGGCTGATGTATCCCCTAGAACATTTTCCGATATATATATTTACATATACATTATGCTGGATTGAGGTTAGTACCCTGATGAAAGGAAACATCCCCTACCTCATCAAGGACTCCAGCAGATGATCACCAGCATGGAAGTGTGCTAGCCATTCAGCTACCTCAGCTCCATCCACAATAGCGGCCTGAGTTACTTCTTGTCCCCATGGCTCTTAGTCTAGCCTACATACATTTTTGTGAGGTCATGTTTGAAAAAATACCAACAGTTTGCAGACCCAAGGCAGAATCTGGTGTGGGAATATATTGTGTTGGTCCAACACAATAAGGTCAAGTAGAGTAGCCATGTCCCTTCCTTAACTGTTCCTTTACCAATCTACCCTGATTTAAGACTAGGTCCACTTTATACCTGCATTTGATGGGCAGAATAATTATGCCACTGCTGACCTGTGAACCGCTGTCTTGGTGTGCAAGTGCACTAGTCCAAATTTTGTTTTTTTTAACCTAACAGTACTTTAATTTACTATTCAGTGGTAATATGACATTCTGCAAAGAACCTGCTACTTGATATTGAGTATGCTTAAAGACAGTGGTTGGAGTCTCTGAGGAAGTCATGGCTGACAACAATATGTGTTATTGTTGCACCAGGGGATTTAGGTACAAGATGAATTAACTCTTTCAGCTCCAGGCAGTTATTACTTCAACTTGTTAAATCTTAGAATTTGTTACTGTAACTAATATATTTTTGAGTTTGAAAAGTTAAAAAAGTACGATTAAATAGAAGGAGAAAAGGCAACATTTCAGCAGGGTGGTAACATCTAAACAGAGCGCACAGAGCTGAAAAAAGAAAACCACGTCAGTAAAATCTAACAAACACATGATTAATGGTATTGTAAAATACAACAATATGGTACTGAAAGAGGTAACAAAATACCAGGCTTGTTGACTGGGCCACAGTTGAAAGTGGACTGGGCTGATATACTTAATAATGTCAGAATTACAGAAAAATTTAAAGAAATCAAGCAGTGTCTGTAGACTGGCAACCTTGGCAAGACTGCAAAAAATGGTGAGTCAAAAGGAGAATGGTGAGACAAGATTCATATGCAGAGACCAATGAAGAATGGTAAACTGGCATAAAACTGGTACTGTATATCAGCACACAGTGTGGGATATACTGAGGGAGAGGTGGGGAATAAGATCCATGTGTTTATGAACTGAATACCTTTAAGAGTTTAAGTATAATCAGTATTTTGTTCTCCTCCGAATATGGAAACTTACAGTATGAAATTATCATTCCTTGTTTGAGCACCAGACATGTCTAGCCTTTCCTGCCTAAAGAGCATCAATTGTTACAGACATAAAAATCAGTCGTTACAGACAGAGTCATTTGTTACAGTTACAGGGTCAGTTGTTGCAGCTACAGCATCAGTTCTTAAAGACAGAGGGTCAGTTTTTACAGTTTCCCAGTCAGTAGTTGCAGTTATGGAGTCAGCTGTTACCAGTTACAGTGACAGTTGTTGCAGCTACAGGGTCTGTAGTTATAATTGCAGGGTCAGTTGTGACAGAGAGAGGGTGTTTTGTTACAGAACCAATTGTTACAGTTACAGGGTTAGTTGTTATATTTACAGAATAAATTGTTTCAGTAACAGGGTCAGTTGTTATTTGTTTACTTGTTACAGTTACTTGGTCAGTTGTTACAGTTACAGAGTTATTTGTATAAGGACAGTTGTTACATTTATAGGGCCAGTTGTTGCATTTACAAGTTCATTTGTTATAGTTACGGGGTCATTTGTTACAAGGAAAGGTATAACCATTATAAGGCCAGTTGTTGCATTCATAAAGTCATTTGTTACAAGGTCAGTTACATTACAGGGTTATTTGTTACAAGGTCATTTGTTACAATTACAGGGTCAGTTGTTACAGTTACAATGTCAGTTTTCACAGTTACAGAATCAGTTGTTACAGTTACAAAGTCAGTTGCTACAGTGTCAGGTGGTATAGTTATAGAGTCAGATGGTTCAGTTACAGAGTCAGTTGTTATAGTTACAGTGTCAGTTGTTACAGTCATAGAGTCAGTTGCTACAGTGTCAGGTGTTATAGTTATAGAGTCAGATGTTACAGTTACAGAGTCAGTTGTTATAGTTACAGTGTCAGTTGTTACAGTCATAGAGTCAGTTGCTACAGTGTCAGGTGTTATAGAGTCAGATGTTACAGTTACAGAGTCAGTTGTTATAGTTACAGTGTCAGTTGTTACAGTCATAGTCAGTTGCTACAGTGTCAGGTGTTATAGTTATAGAGTCAGTTGCTACAGTGTCTGAGGTTATAGTTACAGTGTCGGTTGTTACAGTCATAGAGCCAGTTGTTACAGTGTAAGGTGTTATAGTTACAGGGCCAGTTGTTACAGTTACAGTGTCAGTTATTACAGTTACAGTGTTAGTTGTTACAGTTACAGTATTAGTTTTTAGTGTCAGTTGTTACAGCGTCAATATTTACAGTTTAAGTTGTAACAGTTCATCAACTATTATAGCTTAAATTTCAGCTGTTACAGTTACAGAGTCAGTTGTTACAGTTACAGAGTCAGTTGTCACATTTACAATGTCAATTGTTACAGTTAGAGTCAGTTGTTACAGTGTCACTTGTTGCAAATACAGGACCAGTTGTTACCAACATTTTACTGAATGACATATGTCATACATGATGTGATTTTATACACAATTTCACAGGTGATGTGATGTATATAATGTAACAATAAACAGGTGGTTTCACATAATGTCATATATAATTTTATACATAATGTCATAAATGTGATACATAGCTTCATCTGTGACAGATTATTTGATGTTATATGTGATATTATTTTTGATGGGATGTTAAATAATATCACATATGACATCAGATATGATAAAATACTGTATATAGTGTTCTACCTGATGACATACATGACGTGATGTTATACATACATTATATAGAACATGCATGCTGACACAAATTATGTCATATGTGATGTAATGTTAAACATACTGTCATACAGATCACATAATATGATGTTATGGGTTATGTCATAGAGACCATACAACTTATTCTTGATGTCGTTCATAGACAAACGAAAGGCCACAGATGGTTATGTAAAATGTATATTCCACCAATTCCATTTTTTTAAAGTGATAACTGGGGCAAGGATGTGTATGAAGAAGGAAAGGAGATGGAAGAAGCAAACTAAAGAAAGTGAAACAGAGGCTAGAGTAAGAAAGGGAGTGAAGGAGGGGGAGTGAAGGAGGGGGAGAAAGAAATAGAGAGTCCTGACAGTCTGCTGTACATCATTAACTGAAAGATACAGTCCGATGTGTCAGTGTTAACAGAACAAGGCAGCCCCAAAATCAGAGTCCCAGTCCCTTTTCTTTGTTATACTGATCTTGTTAAATATCAGTGGTGTAACTAAGGAGAGGATTATGGGAAGAGAGCCCTGCCCTCATGCTCTATATGTGAGTGTCCCTCAACTTTTGAACCTGGCTAGGTCTGTTATGTATACGTGGCTAATCCCTGTAGGACTACACGTTTCTCTTTTTGATCCAAAACTGAGCACTGGAATTGTTCACCTTTTAATATTTACACCAGGAAAACAACTAAATATTTAGATCAGGTTTTGGGAACGTCCAACCTATGGACCATAAAAAGACTGTGAAATTATTAAATCTTACGGTTTCAATGTCACCGCAAATAAATAATTGATCAAATATTGCATGCTAATTTTAAAGTTAATAATACTTGTATTTTATATGGTCCGAAAACTGTGTAATAAATATCTAAATGACCCTTGGCAGATGAAGAGCCCTCCCCTATCCCAGCCAATCTTAGATGGTGATGAGTGGATGCATAGAAACCAGAAGACCAGACATGTCGAATTCAATTCACTTATAATTCAATATTTGAATATGTATTTTATCACTTAATAATTGTACCAGAAGAATTTGTGAGCTTGAATTGTTA